CATAACGATAATAGTAATCCCGTAACGAGAAGTAAAGGTCCTAAAACGATAAGAGCGTGGTTACGGTCTAGTTGTAGCGGGTTATAGACCACCGAAGCAAGTCACAGCCCATCCAGGCCCTCGTTCGTACGGGCCGCCCTCAAATAAATCTTTCTTTAACAGACCTGTCGGATGGATAGGAAATGTGTTGCAGTCAAGCACTTATCTATGGTAGAAAGTAGGCCTAAAAATTGGCGTGTGCATCGGAAATCAGATGTGTACTGTTTGTGTTGTCGGAATGTGCGACCACGCAGCACTTAAAGCGCATATATGGCACACGGGATAGCTTGGCATATTATTCTGCGTAGGAATTTCCTAGCTCAGAATGTCTGTTCCTTTAATCTTCCCACATGTTTCTAACTAGTTTTCTTTTCCGCGCAACTCGTAAAGCGTCTCTAGGAACGGTTACATAGTTGTCAGAGCCCCCCCCCCCCCCCCCCCAGTTCACGAGAATCTTTTAGCAGAATGTTATTAAAGAAAAAAAATCTAGCGATTATATATGTTGTTTGTGGAGTTCCCTATGATAAACTCACAGATATGGATCACCGAAAGGTGAAATTGTAGAGAAGTCTATTGTGGACGGAAAATCGGACGTAAGCGCGGAGGGTAGGAAAGACAAAGTTACGCAACATGTAAGAACATGTCTGATGCGATGAGGCTATCGTTGGCCGCTATTGGACGCGGTATAGCAGGACCAACGACGAGGAAGAGGTGGGGAAGGAAAGTCCGGAGTGCATAAGAGCGGGGAAGGGGGAGAGGGGAAAAAGGAGGGCGGCAGACAAAGGGCAGGGGGCGAGCAGGAACAGTGACGGGGGAGTTTTGCTGATATTAAGCCTTTATCTTTGAGAAGGAGTAAGACCAAAGGGGGGGGGGGGGGGGCGGTATGTGCAGAAAACGAAAGGGAAGGGGAAAAGGTGAGAGGAAGAAAAGAGGTATAAGTCTTTAGCATGTAGGTGCCCGGCGGTGGGAAGCTGAATAAATTGACATTTATCACGTGGGTATCAGGAAATATAAACGGTAAACAACTTTTTGAAGAACCTACACTATTTCCGAGTCTCGTTGGATTTGCGCGAGAGCCACCGCTTCTGCGTGTATTACTTACAGATTCTGTTAAACCTTTGAGTTTCCTGGCATGACAATTTTAGTCGTCTCTACGAAGGCATGAGCGTCTTGTTCTCTGACCGTCTGTCATCTTCAAAATCAAGGGTCCCAGGGCAGGGAGCGGTGGGGCGAACTAAAACGGGAGCGAGAGGAAATGACACGCAAACGACTGTGCGCGCATTCCTCAGTTTTAATGCAGAGAATGATGTACCATACATCTCGGGTCGGAAACTGGAGTCCCTTCAGTAGCCTTCCGAGGTGTTCGAATCAACACATACTGACACAAACACTGTGGCTGCCAAACTTATACTTAACTATATTTCCAAACGGCCCCCGTGGTAGCTAGAATTCATAGAAGAGTCTTGAAAAATATTTAAGTCAGTTGACTGATGTACTCCATTCATGTCGTCATCGAGCTTTTTTATAGTTGTATCCTCAGTCTCCATCATTTATTCCATCTGATCATTCATTGTAATAACACTCATATTTTAAACTTCTGACTATGGCTAGTTAGGGATAAGAGCAGTAGAGTTACGAAAAAGAGCAATAACCCCCCCCCACGATTCTCTTTTTTCGTCAATGGGGACAACACTAATAGTTTTAACAATCGTTTCACTTTCATGTTTCTGCTGACAACGGCTATCGTGCGCTACCTTCTAAGTCATTTTCTGACATTTTATATCTATAGTATGATTTTCAATATGCCTGATAATCATTTCTAAGCCATGCATGTGGCCTGTTATAGAGCAACTTGAAGAGCCCGACACACATGTGTTCGACCTTGACAACCTCATAAGTCGGGCGGCACCTTTCGTCCTCAGCCAGGTCCTCTTGGGGAAACCCAGACTTTTGGCTCAAAAATGATTATCAGGTTATTAAAGGTTGAGCTGTGATCTTGAAAAACACTCGAAAGGTAAGACATATTATAATTTTATTGTTTTGTGTGATCACACCCCGATTCATGTTTTTCTTTTTTCAAGAAGACACATCTAGAAGAATTTCGAAAGAGAGAGAAAAAGCGCTCGTTCAAAAAGTTAAATTTTCTAAATCTATCCACAAACTGTGCAAATTTCCATGACATCTAGCCTAATAGAAAGAGAATCACCAAAATATCAACAATGATATAAAAGAACGGGACTCAAATAGCTATGGTAGTTGACTTGGTATGTGTAATTTGTTTGGAACTGTACGTTATATAAAAAAGTTTGCATTCAAGCACCGACTATTTTATTTTGTTTATTTTTAGTTTCAAAGTGCAATGATGGGGCCAAGAAGCAAGTCGTGCATCGAAATACACCCATAGTCGATGGTTTGTACCCGTGCCTGGAAAACCAACCTTTTGTCCAAGAGACGACAATTTATTATTCAAACTATTATTTTGTGGAAAATTCCCTCCGATCCGCAAAAGTCACCTAGTGTCTGCGTTGATGATTTGGGGAGTTTTAGAACCAGGACTCGACTCTGGAAAAGGGCCGACTCAAATACTCGTTCGTCTGAATTCATAATCAAGATCAAAATCCACGTGCACCAGACGTCCCCACGCCCACGCACAAGAAGATCAGGAAAATTTTCGTGGATAGAGGATGCGAGGGAACGAACCGAATTATTCATCTAGAGGAACTCGCATCGAATGACAAGATGTAGCGTTTCGTTGGAAAGATAAAAGATGATAGGAAACGATAACAGCTGTAAATGACAGCCAGATCATAGAAGAGGATTTATCATAATTATTTAGGCGACCCGCGTCATCAGATTTATCCTGCGGATCCAGTACACCATCATTCGATTCGCTTCTTCTCACTCATCCTCCACAAAGGTCTTTGACTACCCCTACGTGTTCTTTGGCTACTGCTTGAGAATTTCGTCTTCTCTACGGATGGCGTAGAATTTTGGAGATTCTCCCTGGAGTCCTGGGATAATGCGACAAAGCGCGCCAACGCAGGATGCAAGAGAGTGTTTGTGATAGGGAATTGAACTAGCATTTTCGTTACTAATTGATTGCATAGACTTACCACTCGACTATCCTCACTGAGCAGTAAAAAGCTAAAGCTTTTCCCTGCGATTCTCCTTGAACTTCTGGTATATAGCGCGGTAGAGCGCGCCCACGCGGATTGCAAGATGTGTCGTGGCAGGGGATTGAACCAGCATTTTTGTTACTAATGGACTGCATGATTTACCACTCGGCTATCCTCACTGAGTAGTAAAAATTTGAATTTTACATTCTGGTATTCCTCCGACAAAGATCGACTTGAGTCTTTCATATTCTAAGGGTAAAGGTAGAGTTCCCACTCGATATCCACCCGATTCCGCCGTTCACAAAATGTGGTGTTTCTGGCGCCTTTGTGCCGCCATCACTAGCTGGCTATTGATTGGTTCAGCGGCGTTCGAACCAGCATCGGTCGCGCTCGTCATGTCGCTCATCGACGTCCATCACATCCGTTGATCTATCGACCCACATAGATTCTTCAGTTGAAATACCCAAGTTTTCAATCTCTATTCTTCTTGACATCGATTACTTCTTATGCCGTATCGAGAACGTTTTTATAGGAGACTTTCTTCAATTTTTCTCGATTTTGTGGTACGCTTTTCTTCTTTTTTGATTTATTCAAATAGGAAGGTCTAATTTTTGAAAGTATAGGATTTGTAAAGCTTTCGGTGTTGACCAGTCCTTGAGGGATGCGCTATGCATTGGACTCCATTCGTAGTATCGTAGAAGTGATCGAATGCGCATCAAATCTTAACAGCGACTCGCGATGACCTACCGATCTATCAAGTCAGTACTGCTATCCTCCGAAGCAACTCTGATAGCAGTTCACCGACAGCGATGAAAAAGGCTTGGTGAGCCTTTAGCACGGGACCGAACCATCGACGTGTGCGTCGCAGGGAACTCTACCCACTGCGCCACACTCCCCTTTGTTGTCATTATATTCTTGTTGTAACTGGTTAAGTTTAGCATGACAAATTCACTGCGATTGTTAGTATTAGTGTTCTATAGAGCTAAACGTCGGTTCATCATATTCGACGCGAAGGCGGAAGAAAAGGCGCATGTTGCGCAGTGGTTAAAGGTGCCCCGCGCCGCACGCAAGGTCGATGGTTCGATCACTTAGCATAGCTCTCCAAGCCATCCATCCCTCCGAGGTCGGTAAATTGGTACCAAGACTGGTCTCAGACTTGTTTCGGAGGATAACCACCATTGACTCGATACAGCGGGAGGCCACCGCGAGTCATTGTTGAGGCCAGATATGCATTAAATCACCTCGAACGAAGTTAGAGAATGAGGATAAATGCATGGCGCATCTATCAAGGATTGATCAACGCGGAGAGCTCTATCCTTTTTCCTTCAAGGCTGAAGGAAAACAGGCTAGCAAACCAATGATAGCTAGGAACCTTTTGATGCTGGCAGCATATCTTTCAGAGTCTTTATGAGGTTTGTATGGCAATTATAGAGTGCTAGACACGTGTTTCGGCCTTTCAGACTCATCAGTAGCACGGTGCGCTTCGGTTCAGTCAATTCTTGAGGATATACCCCTATAAGGGGAAATTGACGCCGAACCATTTACACTCAACATACGGTGATGAGGTCGCCATGGTCTTCTTTCAGCGTGATGATTGTCAATTGTTCATCTGCTTGGCTCATGCCGATTAAGCCAGTTTATATGATTCAGCGCCTTTTGATATAAGCTAACTCCTATTTATAATGAAGACATTTACTGAGTACACGTGTTTTCCTATGTCGGCTTGACTGTCAATTCCAGCAGTTCTTTTCGTAATGCGTGATTATAACCACTCCAAAGATATGTTTCGTGCGTTTTGATACCTTCAAATAGGTAACCAAGAGAATTGAGTGGTGAGCAAAATCCGACCTTAGGCGGGAGTTGAACTCGTATTTCACCTATACAGGGGGCGCGTGCTACCGCTACACCACAAAGACCACCGTTTAGCGCTTATTCTTCCTTCGATATCTCACTATTACAGAGGATGTCAGCTTAACTAGATTTGTAAAGCGATATGATATACCCGACCAAACCTTTCAAAGCTCGGTGGCTGATATCTATAATAATGAGATATTCGAAAATGAGTGATGGCTAAGCGGTGTTCTCGGTGGTGTAGTGGTAGCACGCACTCTCGGAATGGGTGAAACGCGGGTTCAGCTCGCTTCTGAGGATCGAACTTTTGCTCACCACTCAGTTCACTTAGATAGAACCGCCAACGGTTTGGCGTGGTAGACGCGTATTGGCAAAACGGTCAGATGGAGAATTCGTGTTGGTTGTGTTCCAGTAGTTCTTTTCTTCCTCTCTCATGAGAGGGCGATGAAATTCTGACATATATGCCTTCGATGGCGTCGTCATGTTAAATATGGCTATTTAATAGATTAGTTGATTGATTCTTTAGTTTGCAGAGGCCGTTCGATTCAAGTCTTTTTTGTTTGATCGGTATCGTCGTCGGCCATTCTCTTTCACGCCCGCGCCGAGCATTCCAAAGGTTCGTAGTTTCCGTTGCTGGGCGACCAGAATAGCGGAATTCCTCGGTAATATATCCCCGCTTTGTAACTCGCAAACTGCAGTGTTTAGATGCCTGATTATCAATCCATTGCTTATAGAATCTACAAGAAGTCTTGTTTTACCACTCTCTGACCGGCTTGTAATCTTGTTACCATTATATACTCCCATGACATTGAGTGATAGCAGAATAGTCGCCTCCGGCCAGAAGTTGAACCCGCCTTTCATCCGTGTCAAAGTCGCGTACTACCCACTACACCACAGAGACCACTTCCGCTTTGCTAACATTTTTTCTCTTCAAGTCAAAACGTGAATTCAACTCCCGCCTGAGGTTGAATGATTTGCAAGTCACTCAACATCACTGGATGAGAGCTAGAAGATAAAGCCTTCCGCGTCGATCAACCCCTGAAACATGCGCCATGCATTCGTCTTGGTCAAGCATCATTCGGTGACTGAATGCTTACTTTGGCTCTTAGAATGACTTGTGAAAGTCTACCTGTATCAAGTCAGTGCTGATGTCCTCTCGGACGAGTCTGGTACAAACTCACCGACTCCTGAGGGATGAAAGGCTAGATAACCCATGGGTGATGGGAGCAGGATTGAACTATCGATCACGCGTGTCTCGCAGAACACCTCTGACCAATGCTCCACACGCGTTCCTTATCTTTTGATATGTTAGTTATCAGATAACTCGAGATCATATGTGTCACTGTGGACGCGATCTGCAGCACTTGTTGCATTCGATTCGTTCCTTCACATCCGACCATCAAGTGTGTGGCTTCAACTACTGTTTAAGGATTTTTTCGTTTTATCACGAATAGTCGTTGAATGGGAGCGCCGTGGCCGAGTGGTTGTGTTGCTCGTCGCAGCCGCGCGCGCAGAGCCAAGCTCCACCACCAACCCTCTCCGGTAGTCAACAACAGCGCTCCTATGGAACGCCACAGCCAGACTATCCTCGTGAGCTTAAGGAGACTCGCTCAATCAGTATTCTACGCCGTTGAGAAGAAGAAGACAAGTAAATGACTTGATTCTAGAAGTACTGAAATCCGTAACTGAAAAAAAACCATCGGGAAGAGGATCAAATAGCAAGTGCTAAAAGTCGTGGTACAGTGGTGAAGTTGATTATCCATAGATTCCTAAGATAGCCTTATCAGGGCGTTCTCGCGTGAACTGGAAGGAGCTGGCTTGTCCCAGATTATTGGGCGTGGTACCCCAATTCCCCGTCCACGGAACGTTAAGAGGCTTGGTGAGCCCGAGGTAGAATCAAACCAGTACAAAGGTGAATTCTCCGCGTGATGAACACGGTGGACGTTCTTGCTGTGTTTTCTGATACTTTGTAATATCGGTGAACTCAAGTGAAATATGTACTCTGGAACAAGTGCAATGCTGGTATCTTATCAAGTACGTTTTTTTTTCTGTTCACCAGGTTTCTTTCGCGACAAATTTTTACACAGCGAACACTAATAGAATGTCGACGTGAACAGTCTAGTCGTTCAACTTGACATTCTTCACCTTACTGAGTTCATCCTTTGATGTATTTGTCCTTATTCGTTTATCAAGCGTTCAATATAGGTGGTCTCATTTCCTTTATGGCTGAACAGACTATGTCTTGGCGTCTCTACATAGTGTTATATTGCTGATTGGGTGTTCCGTTTGGTAGCACTGATTTTCAAGCCTATCCCCTACGCGGAGCAAGAAGTTTGTCATAAAGGATGCAAGTAACTATTCGAAAGCTTAAATCTCAGGCTAGCGCTGTACGTGGTCGGTTTTTAGAAGGACTCTTTGATAACGTTGGAAAATTCAAATGAAAATATGTTTCACACGCGCATATTTCTCGACAGTACATAGTTCTTTCTTTAAACTATTAGTAATCATTCGATAGCGTAATATTAACCGATTTCAACTCTACGAACATAATCTGAAATACCCGTTTCTCTGCAACGCAGGAGGAACAATAAGACTTATTCACATGCGTTAGCAATATAGTCTTTGGCCAAATCACGGGCGGTGGGATGGGGCAGGGGCGTGGGGAGTCGGCGCAAACATCGATCGATGGCGCCTCAGTGAAGTGTATTCAAAAAGGAATTATTTCTCCACTTTGGAAGGAACTCCAGATCAAACGTCTGACTGTGATACTAGAATATTTCCTCTACACGTTCATATGCTTTTCATGCTGCCAGCGAATTATACGCGTGATAAAAATGAAGGCGCACGGCTGGTGTCGAACATAATTTTATTTTGTATGCTAGAGCATGTAAAAGAGTTCTTTCGAAAAATGGCTACCTAGCGTTGTAGTCAGAAATTTATTCTTTCGAATGATCACTAATACTCCTTATGAAAACTTTTTGTCCAGCATGGGGATAGGCTTGAGAATCCGTGTTACTAAATGGAAAGGGACACTTTGTTGTAAAGTTCATACAAATGAATGAAATATTTGTGACTTTCATAATGCCTAGTGCATTCTCGACTGTATCCATTGATATATATATATATATATATATATAATATATATATATAATATATATATGTATCCATATGTATATGTATAACAGCGCATGTGGCGCAGTGGTTAGAGGTGCTCTGCGTCGCACACGAGATCAATGGTTCGATCTCGCGCTCATGGCTCACCAAGCCATTAATCCCTCCGGGGTCGGTAAATTGGTACCAGACAGGTCTCAGACTTGTCTGGGAGGATAAGCAGCACTGACTCGGATCAGCGGGAGGCCATCGCGAGTCATTGTATAGGCCAGATATGCATTCAATCACCTCAAACGAAGTTAAAAATTGAATTCGAATGCATGGCGCATCCCTCAGGGATTGATAAACGCCGAGAGCTTTATCCTTTATCCTTTTATCCATATGTATATATGGCCAGAAGTGATATATTCTTGCACCTTCCGACCATCTATGAGCTTATGATCAACTTTATTCGCTTTACACTTTATTTGATCCGTATCAAACTTCTTAATGTGCAGATTGAATCCTTCTATCAGTTGATTCGCCTCCTTAAGCCTTCCATCTCTCTGGGGTCGGTGGGAGCACTGGCTCGATACATCGGTAGGCCATTGTCAGCTAGTGTAAGGGTCATATATGCATTTGATCAGTTTGAACGATGCCTGATGAAAACGGGATCTCTCAAGAATTGTTCGACGTCGACAGTTATAACCCTTCTACCACGATGAAATATTCGTCTCCGAGGGTCTACAAATCATCGTTTTTTCTTTCTTTGTCGTCATGGGCTGCGCAACTCAGACTGTGAAGGGATTCTCGTTCAGCAGTATTCAATGTTACCTTCGAATATCGCTTCAATATTGGCGGTTAGTTAACCTGCATTGAATGTTCAAAGAAAAAACAGTTATCTCAGAATGTCCATTTCCTATGTTAGTATCATCTGTCGTCCCGTTGATCGTCGAATGACTCGAGCTGGTGCCAGCAACACTTCCATTTTTCCCTATCGCGTGCAAGAGTAGCCCAGTGGGTCCTCCTCGCTCTAGGGATTCGCCGAGCATCATATCTTTCTTCTATACCCTTTGTGGAGGAATCGGATCATCGGGTCGGTAGTCTTCCTTTGGAGCGCTTGATATCCCGAAGAATCCAGTTGGTTACGGCTCTCGTCCATCTGTTGTCGTTCAAGCGCATCACGTATCCGGTCCACTTTATTCTCGATATCCTGGCTTGTAGAACGGCATACTTGACCTTTGATCGATGACGTAAGTCAGAACTTCGGATTCTTTCTCGTATTTGCGAGATACAGGATACTCTTATGTTAGTATCATGTTAAAATATCATATTACTACTGTGTTCTGATATAATGTTCTACCTCATCTCAACATCGGCGTACTTGTAGGTCACATCGGACATTGCTGTAAAAAGGATTTCGGTAGTGGGAAGAAAAAACTCCCAATTCATGAGCAGGAGTCGAGCGCCACATGTGAATCGCGCTGTGTTCGAAACCAGACTTCTTCCGGTTGCTCTAGCGTGCTAAAAAAGTGTTTTCAAAATCATCCCGTTTTTTCGATGTCATTGGCGAATTTTCATCATATGACAATATTTTTCTACTTTCGCAATAAACCTCTAGAGAGCTTATTATACCATTGTTTTGACACATTAACTGGTTGACTTCCGCGGACCCAAACTGGGTGTGTTCGCCAGCGTGGTAACGACTCTACATCCTCTACCCCGCCTGGTCACCTACTACGGTGGTACTTTTCGTTACACTACCCTCAGCTAAGTTGTGGACTGATTCGCGTGCAGTTTTGCAACGGGAAGTAGTAGTGAGGTCGACGACTAATCGAGGCAGAGGAGATGAAGTCGTCCCCACGTTGGCGCACGCGTCTAGTTCGGGTCCGCGGGAGTTAACCGGTTAATGCATGAGAATTACTAAGTTCCTCACCTGAGACGACCTTTGTCTAATTGTCTAATCCTTTCTTGT